AAAAAAAATCGTACCTGATATCGATAATAGGTATCGACAATTCTATTAATACGTGTACAAACATTTCGTGTTGAACATATGATGTTTAAATTATCCAGATGATCAAGAATACGATAGACAAGCTCTACCGGTAATGTAAGAAAAGAGGATGTCATTTTGTGAAAAAAATATGTATATTTGTTTTACGTTAGATATTTCTCTTCGTTGTGCAATTACACGCTTGTCGCAGGACTAATAAACAAATGATAAAATGCGGAGTTTCTTTTCTTTCCTTTCGAGCACGTGTGCATCAAAATAAAAAATATTTATTGTAAAAATTTAATTTTGTACTTTTATATATTCTTCTATTAAATTATTTTTTAAAAAAATATCCATTTTGATGCAGAGTTCATCAGTATCTATTCTTGAGATATGTCAGTATAAGGTATGACCTGTCAAGTACAGATAATTTCAGGCTATTGTCGACGTCAGAAGTCAGTGTAGGTTGGTATAAGAGAAATATTTCGAGAATGATAATAGCTAGCGATTTGCACCTTTCAGAAATCTAAAAAAGCTGAGTTAGGACATATTTATATATATATGACTATGCAAGGTGAAATGATTATCTAAATAGTATTTTTTTGTCAAATCTTTTTGAAAAATGTATAATAATACTATTATATAGTTTCAATGAGTTGTTGAGTTTGACATATGTTAGATAGCAAAACTTCAGATCTGTACTCCTTGACATGGTATAAATAATTATGATCCCCTCTCCTAATAATATATCAAAACATATTATAACTCGGTCTCGTTCAATTAATTTTCGAAATATTCAAACGCTATTTGAATTGTTTACAAATTTTTTTTGACCTTATGGAAAAGCATGATTATAAAAACTAATTATATACGTCTAGAAGTGTGTCATAGAGTTTCAATTTGAAACCATTGATAAACATAATTACCACGACGACTACTTTTCATGTTCATTAAAAATCGATGATTTGTAAATATAAGTGAAAGAGGAGCACAACATCCACGTATATCTTATGTTGAATGCATTACTATGGCATCTGGAAGAAATTTAAATGACTTCTTTGATTAAAACAAAATCACAGATATTCCTATATTTAGAAAGCAATTTCGAAAAATATCATTGATGTGAATTCAGATAACAAATACAAACAGAACAAATGATATAAACAATTTCTCAGTTTTACAAGTCATTATCTCGAGTGAGTCGACCGATGAGTACTGCAATTAATGCAAATACTCCTAATACCAATGGAACGGCTCTCACCATCATTTTTCGATAGCGTCGTTTTAATTTTGATTTTTCCCATTCTAGAATTCCATTGCTTGTTTCGGAATAATAACAAGTCGCAACTGTACCAATCTAAAAAATAACATATAAGCATGATGTATATTATGTTGATCTAAATATCTCTTAAACATACGGGTGTTAATGGAATATTTGGATGATTGTATCCATTACTGGAATAAACAATACCTTGTTGAATATCGTTATCTAATGTTTTGTATTCAACCGAGGTCACTTCTTTATAACAAGAATACGAATACGCTAAAAAAAAGAACAATTATTTGAAAATGAAAATCAGTTTCAAAAGAGAAGAAGAACTTACTCGATCTACTAGATTGTTGAATACATTCTGTTTGATTAATAGATGTTGAGAGAACTTTACATTGACTACGAATATATCCATAATCTGTTTTTCTAGCTTCCATATAAGTGATAAACTCATAGAGTAAACAACCACCCATAATTAGAATGAATGCTGATAGAGCCAAAAATAATCGAATCATCATGTTTTATGTAATAATTTTATTTCTAAATGTAAAATTATAATGATCTCGATCATAATAAATAGAATTTCTTCTACGTGCGTAAGAAAAATCTCAAACTTATCTACATCGAGTAGTATTTTACCTTAACTCACACTAGGATTGCTTCACAAGAATAGTGCATGATGAAACTGAAAGTATGACTAATATGATGTCTCAGACAGAAAGAAAAAAAAGTTGTGAATAAACATTCCTGTTCATCGCCTGTCTTTCCTCATATGACGTCATTCTTGCGTTGCTTTGCAATTACTCATATTGAGATAGAATAAAATATGAAAGAAGACAAGAACGAGAGAAAAGATTAATAACAGCAGAAGTTATATCTAATTGCTTGTTATTCATATATAAATTCTTCGTTAAATATTACTGAAATATTCATAATGCTATCAGGCATTTCTAATGAAGATCATGATATCGAATGACGGTGAATCATTTTTATAATGGTAGACAATTAAATGCATTGGATAAATCTATTTTGATGTGATTATTCATCATACGATAACTATGTAAGAATCTAAGTATGGTAATCGAATGTTTCGTAATTTCTCATATACTATTCGAAATACTCATTATTATAATTCATCTCAATATTTGTTTTTGAATCTTTTACACAAAATTTATTACGATTGTTTTGGAGAGTCAAGCATTTGAAAAGATTTACGACGGATATAAAGCAAATTAGGATGCATATTCGATCTCAGTGATCGATGGATAAGATGTTGCTAAAGATCGTCTTTAAATACGAGTATTTTTTTATTATAAAGAAAAAGTATTAGCGTAATTCCTGTCAGATTAAATTGCCAAACACGAAAGAGCTGTCGTAATATTTGTCCATGTGAATTAATAGCATCTATCATCCTCTGTGATACTAATTATTAATAATGTCTGTCACATTTCTGGACGAGCAGAAAGGAACGGGGGAAGACGGTGGCACAAATCTCTACTCATAATACTTTAATCCTTCTTTTAGTTCGGGCTTCACAAAAATGATACTATGAATTTTATATAACAATGTAATTAAGAGTATGACAAGTGTTGATAATAGATTATTTTCATATTTTTCAGTTTTTTACGACGATTTCACTGATATATCCTATGCAGCCCACGATTCAATGCAATAATCACAGCGTCAGCACTAAACCAGCATATATTGGCTGAGCGTAAGTCGTTTTTATCGTACCGAAATGGAGTTCCAACACAGACGGCACCCAAACGTTCAAGTGCCGTTTGCATAGCTGGTTCAGCAGTGCATGCGAACATTCCATAGTCGGGAAGTGCGGTATGGATATAGGTCATAGTTTGTTGTAATAGTATTGTGCCAACCAATGAGCGACGGTAGTTCTGTGCTACGGCCATGCGATTGCCTTCTAAGCACGGATATAACGAATCGATCGTTTTCCATGAAGGACTGTCCCTGGTCAAATACCATTGTGTTTCATGCTGGCCACCAATTTGATCCTTATCAACAACACGACAACACCCAATGACTGATTGATCTTCCTTCATGGCGACAAACCAAGTGGCAGACTCATCAATGTTGTCAATCAATTCATTGTTTCTTACAATGCGCAGACCAGACGGATTGTTCGATTCCAATTTCCACTGTTGCTCTTTTATGTAAACCTGGTAGAGTAGACGACCAATTTGTTGGCGTATACCAATGTGATGCTTACTATTGTGAAAGCGAATCGCTCTTACAGTAATGCCATGCAGTGCCATTAAAGTATTCTTTAAAATCTAAAAAGATCATATATCAAATCTTTTGCGAACAGTTATAAAAATAAGCTTTGAAGAATTATGTACTAAATTCATCCAATTTTTTGAACCTACCTTAATTGATACGTGGAATACGAAATAATTTCAGTTTTACGAAGCTTGTCTTTTTTGTCGAAGGAGACGTATCATATATATATTTATACATGGAGTCATTGCGTGGGTTATTTCCACATATTCGGAAGAGTCACGCTTCAGAAGATAGAATTACTCATGTATTTTTCACAATATCAGGTAATAGTTATATGAAACCAGAGGATATTTCCCCAGCAAATGCATCGTCGGTAAGTGACGACAGAAAAGGACAAAATTTGATTTGGCTATTACCGTCACTTCCTAAAGTATAAATAATTAAGGTAGAAAGCACATGTCGGTGTGGGTGTAAGTGCTGTATTCATTTCACACCCGCACTCATAAACATCCACATCCTTATCCACTCACATTCAATTGCTGATTAAGTCAATGAACAAGTGATGAATATTATAAAATACTAATAAATAAAATATATAACTTGTGAAAAGAAATTTATCAACTGTAACGAGAGATATTATTGATGCTAACAACTTGTAGTTTTAAATAAATAACGAATTTTATTCTAATACAAAAAAATTTTAAACAATCACATATAAATTTTCATCGCATATGTATTGCATTGATTTTGAATTCATTGGAAGAAAATAATGTATTTATTTATTTATTATCAAAAATCATCCATAAAATAGCTACCCAAGATTAGCGAATCTTTTATCGCGGTTAGTATTTATTTTATTCTATGAATTCGATGGTGTTGTACAAATATTATAAGTGTTGCTATTGTATGTTATTCAAAACGAGCGATAATATATGAGTAAGAATATTTATTTATTGCATCGAAATAATCTATTGACTCATTTTTGTCGTTTTGACGAGCGTCATCGACACACTTGATTAACTTTAATTGTATGGTAAATGTGCGTAGTAACGAAGAAAAACACACACGTTCTATTTGATACAACGCTAAACAGATATTTAGTAAGTAAGTAATGGATGGATTTATGTCTTTCAAAATTTTTCTGCTAATCTATTTAAAGGAAAATATTGAAATCATGGGATGTACATCGTCTTCAAGTGATGATCATATCAAAGTAAAAGTGGATATGTCTTGGCCGGGAGGTAGAAAAAAAATTGTCAAAAAGATTCCCGTATCAACTACAGTTGGTCAATTAAAACAAAAACTAAATGCACCTCATTCGCGACTTGGATATACACATAAAATTGAAAATTGGGATAATGGTCGACCACTATCCGATTATTTTGTTAAAAATGGTAAACAATTCAAGTGTACTCTGCAATGTCGTAAAGAATAATAATAATCAACAACTGACAAATGAACTAATGATTATATTCATCGAAATATTTATTTATCTTGCTAAATTGAATAAAAACATTTTCCGATATTGTTGTCATATGTTCACTTATTCTGATAAAGGAAATATTAATGTTTTCGAACAGCAATTTACTTCTTTAAATTTGATAGGATGTGTTTTGAAGGTTAAGAAGCTAATGTAATATAGAATGATGAAAGTGATTGGTAGAGATAGCCATGTACATTTCTGACACAATCAAAGCCGTTGTTTTATTTAAGGGTGAAGAATACATTGATCCAATCCACATTTATAATAGAAATCTTCCGACTGATGTCTACGACTCAGCTTAATTAGTACTGATACATACATTAAATGACAAAGGTCTTATTTTCAACTACAAAATCAATGAAATTAATTACACGAAAACAATAAATAAAAAACACACAGACATGAGCTTATTCTACTTTTGTATTTTTTAATACATTTGACGATTTCACTATGACTACTCGATACCAGACTCACACCCACCCTTATTCTTTCGAATCATACTACTCTTTCTTAAGAGTTTATTTATTAATTAATTATAAGAATGAAGAGAATTAATGTTATTGCGTGTATTTATTTGGAAGAAGAAGGATCGCAAATATTATCAAACTATTACTTATAATAAATCTAAACTTGAGAGTGGGTGTGTATTTTATTCAACCCACACCCACAAGATGATTCTTACGAAAAAAGCTACAATAAACGTGTAGAAAGATTGTTTACTTTCAAAATAGAATGAATTTCATCTTTGTAATGTATATTGCAGTTGGAATCTTGTCGCTGCCGCGGTGCAGCATTGACAGCGTTGGCGTAGCATCGACTGTGTGGGCACGTCATCGACAGCGTTGGCGCAGCCATGGACATCACTGCGATATGCTACAACAAATTTCTCTAGTTGAAAGTATAAATAATGAGTTATAACATTTAAAGAAATGAACATTTTTTTGTCCATTCTTTGACTGAAAAAAAGTTGCCGCTACATTTTTGGAAAAGAGAGGGAAATGGATACTTTTATTGCTGAAGAGGACGGGAAAAGAGTTTTTTCATTTTTTTGCATTTATGACAAAACATTTGCGATTCTTTCCGATAAGGAAGTTCTTAATTATATAGGTTACTTACTTTCACAATACGTTGTTATATCTAAGAAGAGAACAATGTAAAACAAAAACTGTCAATTTTGATGATATTGTTGTTTCAAAGAAGGCGTATTGTCCTATCAACAACTCGTTTTTCTCTAATAAAATATTTTTTGTTTCAGTCAGTCGTCTTCTACTTGAAGAAATACAACGCATATAAAAGAAAAAGAAGCGAACTATTTCAAATAACCAAACACTTGGTAAGTGTTGTCAGAAGTATAGACTAGCACCGATATTTTCTTCTCAGTATTATATAAAGTTGTCTACGAAAGTTTTGTTTCTATTCTAAACTGTATTATAACATGGTATAACAATACCAAAATGAGGATATAGGTGAGAATTATTTGATCTATTTGATCTTCAAAGTCATACTCTCAAGATGGTTTCATTATTCAGTAAGTTAATGTCTTTGCCGGAATCAATTTTTTTTCTAGATAATTTTATACGATATCGAAACAGATAATCTTAAAATGATAAAATTATTAGCTTTTACTATTATAACATGGTATTTATTCTATTTTTGTGATTGTGGCTCACTCCCAGATTCACAACTAGCTGAACAAACATTAATAACAACGTTATTAAGTGATTATAATAAAAATATAAGACCAGACACTCAAGTATCTGTTGATGTTAGTGCTTCGTTACAACAAATTGTAGCTATAGATGAAAAACAACAAATAATGACAACAAGTTCATTTATTTCCCAAACATGGTTCGATTATCGATTGTCATGGACACCAAATGATACAAATAATAATATTAGTGTACTTATGCTCCCAGTTAAAACTTTATGGATACCAGATACAATGATATTGAATTCAGCAGATGCAAGTGGTTATCTCACAGTGAGTGATTATAGTTTAGCATCTGTTTATTATACGGGTCAAGTGTATATGATATTACCAGCATTAACAATAAGAACACGATGCAATTTATATGTTAAAAAATTTCCATTTGATCAACAAATATGTAGCATTAATATAACATCATGGAGTCAAGGATCTAATAGAATTCTATATACAGAAAATAGTAGTTTACTAGTTGATACGAGTGAATATAGTGAACATCCTGTATGGGAATTGAATGAAATTGGTATAGTAGTACTTGAAGCATCGGATAGGGCACCATTTGAAGATACTTACAATGATATTATATCAATACAATTGTATTTACAAAGAAAACCATTATTTTTTATTGTCAATGGTATATTTGCATGTTGGATTTTAAATTGTGTTACATTATTATCATATGCATTATCCTTTGCAACACAAATTAGTCTATGTAAGAATATTAAATAGAACTTAAAAAAAAATAAATATTTATATTTTAGGTATGGTATGTTTTATGACCTATTCTGTTTATTCATTGAATTTTTCTAATTTATTTCCGCAACAATCTGAATATTTAATGATGATTACATTATACTTTTTATTATCAATTTGTTGGACATTAATATCAATGGCATGGTTTCTTATATATAATTATATTGTAACAAAAGGTGAAATGGCAAAATCACTTTATAATTTTTGTGGATACTTACAAAGAATATTTTTTTGTTGTTTTCCACGACCAAAACAAAATAGTAAAGTAGATAAAAAGAACGATATTATTGCTGAGAATGGTGAAATGAAGATTTTTCAGAATCAAGAAAGTACTCAACAAATGAAATGTGTTCCACGTCTTCGAAAACAGAATAGTATTGAAACCATGGAAATGAAACAGCATAGTTCCGCTACACATACAGAATCGATAAAAAAAAGTCCAATTGACGTTCAGCCATGGGAAACAAGCAAGGAAGCGAAACGAAAATGTAATTTCTGCAATAGATGCGAATCCTGTCAAGCTGATATCGATAAAGATAAGATGAAAAGTAAAGAAAAAAAAGATATTGAAGCTAGATGCAATGCTTTAAATTATTTAGTTTTTATTTGTGTGTTTTTCATTATGCTTATTTGTAACATTATTATATGGATCTTAATGTCAAAATGATTGATTTTAACTTTTTTTTTCTAACTACAATATTTTCCTCCATTTTCATTCAAATTAAAATAAATCAATTACATACATTTTAAAACACAATAAAATATTATTTGAATGCTTGAGAGTGGGTGTGGGTGTGTTCTATTTCAGATATTCCCACACCTGCACCCTCAACTTGAATATCTGTGCATAGATTCAATTCTGATATCGAATAAAATCATATTATTCAAACTATTAGATTAATAGTTAATTTTTACTCTGTTACTATAGCCACAATCAATAGATATCTATACAAATTCAATGTAAATACTTCTTTTAATTATTAATAAGAATGAAACTGTATTCAAATGTCTTTCAAAACTTCGATAGGGAGTATTATTTCTTCAAGTCTCTCTTTCCGTTTGCAAATGAAAAACAAGAATAACATAGATAAAATACTTAGACAGTTTATGTTATTTATTGTTCAATTATCAACTACAAATTTTTTCATATACTTTTTATTTTACCATTGATTAAATCAGACAGTGACTGAATATACTCTTGCTGAAAATGATCTTTCATTTCGTTAGCGTTCTACAATTGATTTTTCTTGACAAGTATGCATGTTAAACGACGCATGACGTAGTTTTTTTCTTTTTCTTGAAACTACACACACAGCGAAAAATAAAATATTTTTATCTTTCTGACTCTTGCGAAATTACATGAAATAACATAAATATTGTGCAAGATTTCTTTTGCTGGCTCGACGTATAAAATGTCGTTGCATTTGCTTTCTATACTAGTATTGCGTTTGCCACGTTACTAACAAATAACACTTCAATAAATTTCATAGTAAGTTTTTTTATATTTTTGAATTTATAACTTTTATAATTGTATGTTTAGTCTACTCATCAATTACAATGACTAGCAATAATGCATTAGCTGATATTGAACTTCGATGTATTCCCGACAATTCACATGCCTTGTCTGGTGTTTTAAATACAAAAAAAGTTCGTTTCGATATCGAAACAAAAAGCAAAGGAGAAACAACGAAACGAACACCACTCAATTTAGTACTTCTCCTTGACCACAGTGGATCCATGCAATCAGACAACAAATTAACATTTGCAAAAAAAGCTGTTATTTCCGTCCTTAAACTTCTTAATGATGACGATATAGTTCATCTAGTTGCATATGACAATGATGTATCGATTATCTTTGAGAATGCTCGCGCATTTTCTCGTGAGCATCTTTATTCTCTTGTTGATGATATTGAAGCTAATGGTTCGACAAATATATCCGGTGCTATCGATGTCGGCGCTAATCTCTTAGAGAAACATGTCTATAATGGATATTCACGTCGTATGTTTCTTTTTTCTGATGGACAGGCTAATGTTGGACTAAAAACACGAGCTGAACTAACTAGTCTCGTAGCAAAATATAATGCTCAAGGTATTATAACCGACTCTTTTGGTATTGGTGCTGATTTCGATAGCGAAATCATGAAAGGTATTGCTGATGCTGGCGGAGCAAGATTTTACTTTCTTGCCTCATCAGATGTAATTGAATTACTTGTTACCAAAGCACTTGTGTGTGTTTTTGGTGTATGTGCATCACGTGTTCGTCTTCTCGTACGTGGTAAAAATGGAGCTATTGTTACGAAAATGTGGGGTCATGAAAATCTTGTTGCTGGCGCTAGTCTCGGTGATCTCTATACAAATAATCTACGATCCATTCTTTGTGAATTTACAACGTCTGGTACATCAAATACTGAAGTTGAAATATTGGCATATGAATTACAATATGCATATCCAGAGAATCCCAATGGCACACCAATAGTGATCAAAAATATTTTATCATTGAAATTTGTTGAAGATGAATCACTTGTTACGGATATTGATCCTCGTGTGAAAATGATGTATGCTACTCAAACGGTTGCTAATATGGATAAACAAATTGCACAATTAGTGAGTGATGGACACCGAAAAGAAGCGATTGCTCTTGTGGATGAACAAATTGTATTATTGAAAGACGTTGAAAAATTCGATGATGAAAAAGGAATGATTGCGTTATTACTTCAAATGACCACTCGAATGCAGAATAAATTGAAAGATGAAACTATTGATCGAAAAGTTCTTTCTCAAGGATATAAACATCAAGCACATTTAAAAGAAGAATGTGATGAGGACGATATGGGCTTCGGACTCTTTGATTAAAATATATCTGAGTGATGTTTCGTAGAGTGAAAGAATATACATGGAATATTTTATTTGTTTTAAAAAAAATAAAAATGAAGTGTAAACAAAAAACATTAGTTTGACGGTGGGTGTGGGTATGTATTGCATTTATTCCTCCACGCTTACACACACTCACATTCATCTTCACAAATGAAAATAAGATTTCATTATCTTTTGTAATTTATTTTTTCCTTTGCTACCTGTTGTTTTTGCATAGTGTTAAAAGCGATAGAAAAGAAAAAATAATAATCAAGTGAAAGACATGAAGAACAAAAAATGTAAAAGAAAATTACTTTGAAAAATATATTTTGTAGCTGATACGTTATCTATTTGTGATGATATCATTTGTGTATGAAGTGCATCGTGAAAAAGACATTTATTAGTGGAGAACTTAGAACGAAAAATAGAAATATGTGTAGTATTAATATATGTTCCAATATGCTTTGATAGCTGTAAGCCATATGTCAATACGTTCTCATTTGATTGACAGACAATGAAACAACCTAGACATCCATGATAATTCTTTGTTTCATCGGTCGGGAGTTGAGTAATAGTTCAGCGATATAAAGCAAGTCAAGTTAGTAAAAATGGATGAGTGTTTGATTAGAGATAAGAGACATCTATATCCTCAAGGTAATTTTGATGGAGTAATTTATTCAAAAGCATCCAAAAATATATCTTCTTCCTCATATGTGATATCAATATGAGATCTAACCGACACTTTCTAAGATAGACATCAAAGAAATATTCTATATCGTGACTTGTGATCCGTCGGGTATGGTATCATCTAAAAAATGAAAATTATTTAAAATGTATATCAGAGATTTTCGAACATTTTCCTACTAGTTCTATGGAACAAAATTCAAAAAAGTGAGAGATGAGAATATTGATGAGAAAAAAAACAAATTAGTTATTTGTGCGCGTTTTGCAAGTCATAAACAGACGTTTATCGTGAAGGACAAAAGGTATTGCAACATTTAAATAATTAATAACGACTAAAAAGAATGATTTCTACCTGAACGTGTTCAAAAAAGAAAAGTTACTAATTATTTTAATCTTAATTCTGTTGTGTCTATTCAGAGAAATAATTTTTCTTTTGTAAAATAAAACTATAAGATAATTCAATTATGTTTATTATCAAATAAATTAATATTAGAAGTTAAGAAAATGAAGAATATTTTTCTAACAGATAAAATGTATTTAAATATCAATATGTTAATTATATATATTTTTGACTGACAAATGATAAGGATACGTTTTTATTTGAAAGAAAAACATTTCTTTTTCTGATTAAAAGCATTTTGAAGAATTATTTTATCTTTTAAAAAAAGGTTTCCGTTTTAAATAATTTTTTTTTCTTTTCCCGTAGAAAGTAAGTTTTCATAAACTTTAAAAATTTGTTAACATTCCTGCTTTGTTAGAATTTGATTCAGATCTTTTGTAAAAGATACTTTTTGATTATCAAAAAGCAATAAGATAATAATCTATTTCATCAACATTATACTTGCCATAATGAGTTTTATCTGAAGCATTTTCATTTCATATCGCCATACAAATCGTTTTGAGTAATTATATTTAGTAAGCAATGTAGAAAATGATCATGCGCATAGCATACTCTAAAATAAAGCAATTTAAAAAAAAGTAATTCTATTCTAAAAACAGGAGGAATACTTGTATTTTAATTAAAAAAATGATATCAGTTTTTCTCACTTCGTGGATATTTATGTATATTAAAAGACATCTTCCAAAGACAATATTATTATATCAATGACGTATTTACTTAGAGTTATCTTTTTTTGAAACAAATGTTTGTCTTGCTTAAAGAAATAGATAAGATCGGATGATCCAGAAGAAATGGGTAGTTTTGAATTTTTAAATTTTCTCTATACAGCTTCAATCAAAATGTCCTATAATTATTATCAAAAGATGTGCTATAAATATTTATACAAGATTATACAAAGATGTTTGATATCAACTGTAAGTATAAAAAATGTAAAGAAACTGACGAGTGTACGCATCTACTGTGAATATTTGGAATGGTGGCACTTGTTTATAAAGATGATGCATTTTCCACCACTGGTTCAAATACTATTTGTAATGTGATGAAAGATGATAATTATAATGAAATAGTCGATTATACTACAGGATCGGTCACTAGAACAATTTTTCAAAATAGAGGCCAATTAACATCTCTTTCATTTCTCACTATTTTTTTGTTTTACCATTAAGTTTCAAAGTTTATTTTTGAATACATCAGTCCTCAATTTAAATGTTTCATCAAGATTTTTTTTACAATATACTTTTATTTTATTTTATTTTCTTCTAGATTATTCAGAATAAAAACACGAAAGTTGATGTTTGTTTGTATACATTTTAATTATTTCGATGTGATAAGAGTCTAAAAAATAGTAGATAAAAAAATGAGTGACAAGAAAGAATCTACGAATGAAGAAAAATTATCTTGTTCATCATCAGTAATATGTGAATACATATTAATCATTCTAGTCGTTCTGTATACATTGGGGTGCAAGTGTACATATACAGGGTATTGCTATGGGTGTGCATGAGTGATTGTATTTAAACTATCTTCTGATAACATCTATATCCTTCTTATGCTTATGTATTTCTTTCTTACGAAATAATTATTTCTTTTAGTTGATGTTGAAATAATTATCTTTTCTAGTTGATGTGGAAATAACTATTTCTTCTAGTTGAGCTTGAAATAATTATTTCTTTCAATGGCTTTTGAACAAAGAGAATCAAATAATTGCATTTAGAAAATAAATTTAAATTCAAGAACGCATAGATGATAGAAAATTTTATTACATATTGCTATCTGATCCATGTAAAAAAAAACTATAAAAAATATGTTTGAAACCGTTTTTTCTCGAAAAATCAAGAAAATCTGATTAAATACCACATTTTCTGCCTAAACCTGGCCGAAAAATCGATTTTAATCGATTAAAACTGATTAAACTGTGATACATAATAGATTTCTCCAATGAAAATGGATTGTAATCCATTAAATAGTTCAAATAATATATTTAAATCCTTTTGTAAAATTCTTATCGATTTAAATAGATTTTTATAATAGAAACTGATTTTCGTTAATTAAATCATTAAAAAGAATCTATTTTATAATATTTTCTAGATATAAAATTGATATAATAATATAATATCTTTCACAATTTCTCGATTTCATCGAAACAACTTTAGTTTTCGCTTGAAAAACTCGATTTAACAACTTTTTTTTCTATGTGTATCGTCATCAAACTGAAGTATTTCATTATAGTTTATTTTTAAAATAATTGTTTCTCTTTTTGAGTTTGTATACATTTTGCCGGATATGATAAAATAATTTCATATTCATTAGAAAAAGCGTTTACAAACTGATATTTTTATTTGTCATAAAAAAGTCTTTGTCATTTTGACAATAACTACATTTGGTGTTGCTCAACATTTTTCCCCGTATGTACTTTCTTCACAAAGGATTCTGTCGAATAAAATCGTAAATCTGTCATCCTCTTGTGCTTCAGTTACGATAGCCTACAAAGAGCAGCTGTTTCTGAACATTCTCATAAAAAGAAATCTGGAAATTATCTATGCTTTGATTTATACAAACCGTTTATTAATCAAGGCAACATGGTTGGAAAATATCACCCATGCTTAGTATTATAGTTACGAACATTCAAATATAGACAGGGGTAAGTTTTAGTCGTTGGATTCGAATAGAAGACATCTTTTCTCATAAAATGAGATCTTCACAGCCTCCATGCATTATCTCATTACAGATGTTGATAAGGGTGCCCAATAAATTTCAGCGATTCGAAGCTATTTATGTGTATTTTGACACCGTATCTATTTCTATAAGGAGATGACATATGGAGCTCGTGAAGATCTCATTTTGTAGCAAAAAATGTTTTCTATTCGAATCCAACGACAAAAACTCACATCTGCCTATATTATAATGTACATAACTATAATGCTGAGCGTGAGAGAGCCTTCTGATGTGTACCCCTGCAATTTCAATAAATTCTTGCCTATAGATATCGTATAGTGCTCGAGTAAAAATTCTAAATGAATTTGAGTTGATATTGTTTCTTTCAAAAGTTATATCCATTTTACTGAATTTTTGTCCTATAGCAGTGAATTCCAAGAAAAATCAACTAAGCTAGTTTTGACCTGAAACTTCACTCATCGATTAGTTGGATGGCCATTACAATATCGTGAACATTTCATTCAAAAAGAATGTTCCTTTCTTGAGATATTGAATTTCATAACATATTTTCAACAGCTGTATCACTTAAACCGACTGAATCTAAGCTTCAATATCTTGAGAAAAAAACATTCTTTTTTATGGAAATTTTCAGGATACTCTAAAAGCCATTCGACCTATCGGTGAGTAAAGTTTCAGGTTGATATTCTCTTATCTGATTTTTCTCGGAATCTGCTGCCACATAACAAAAATCCTAGTAAAACGGGCATAAGTTTTGATAGAAACAATATCAACCCAAATTCATTTAGGGTTTTTACAGGAGCAGTACATAATATCTAAAGATAAAAATTCACTAGAATCGGAAGCGACTGCTGGGAAAGTTCCCTCGTGAGATCTTTGTACCATACCCTAACCAGGCATGGGTGAGCGCAAGGATTTCTCACCCACATGAAAGTTGAAGAAAATTTCTCGAGTCGAATCGGGTTTTCGGCTTCTACACTACTGTATTGTTCACCATAATTTGTTTCTGTATATTTCATCTTATGTTTTCCGAGGGAATCGATCAGAGTTTTTGTCTGAAATGTTCTTTCTTTAGTTTGATTCAATTTTTTAGAGATGTAGTATTGACTTTGTAGTTAATTCGTTATTTTTATTTGAAAAGAAACTTTTCCTTAGGAACAAAACATTCGAATTGTCTCGCAAGTTATAAAAACCCACACAAGTAGTTGTCGAAGAGCTTGATTCATTTTTCATGATGAATTTC